CCCCAAAACCCCAAAACCCCGCAATGAAATTCTGCAATTTTATAAGGTTAAAATGTTAAATAATTTCTAAAATTTAGATTGGTAGTTTAATGAATTTAAAGAATTATTCTATATATATTTACCTGATTAAAAAATGAATTCAGTATATAGTTTAGATAACAAAACTTTTTATAGCTGCAAACAATCAAACAATTTGCTTGAAAATAAATCACATTAGCTACATTGTGGAGATACTCTATGTGAAGAATGTTAATAATAATAGACTGATCAAATCTAGAATGAGTAAATTATACTTAAGCATTTGCAATGTTAAATTGAGAATGATCATCTTCAAAAGAAAGATCCCTCTTATATCAAATGTGATAAACACGTTGAATAGGATGTAGAAACATTTTGCTAGAGCCAAAATAAATTACTCTGTAGCAGATGCTTGCAAGAAAGCACTCATTTTGATGATAAAGATTCATATATTCCATTTGATAGAAAATTTCTAGATGAATCACTTGCAAGCATGATTCCAATTCTTAGGGAGGAGATTAATTAAATTTAAAACTTGATAGATGATATTAATTGCTTCATTAATAAGTAACATAACTTCAAAGTACAAGAAATTGAAAAAATAATCTAAAGAAGCAATTATATTAATAAGTAACTCCATCTTGATGAAAATGAAATGAGTTCAAAGAAGTATATAGGCAATAGTTTTAGTTTTCTTTCCAAATCTTCGTAATATAATTTACTTTATTCTTATAGTGAAAACTACAACCAAATTGATCAAGTAGAAACCAATGAAAAAGATAAATTAGAAGCTGAGACATTATTTAAACTAATAGAAACGGAGAGACCAAAATACTAAGGATTCAGAAGATTGGTAGACTACCACTTATCTACTCTGGACAATAGTATTGATGCTCAATAAAAACTTCTACCTATATCTGGTAAAACGAAATTGCTGTACAAAGGTACTAGAGATGGATTTCAAGCATAAGACTTTCACTTATATTGCGATAACTACGGTCCAATAGTTTCATTCATTTTGAGTGAGCATGGACAAGTTTTCGGATGCTATACATCAATTTCTTGGTCATTTGCGAGCGGTTATTAAAAGGATAAAGATGCCTTTATATTTAGCTTGAGTAAAAATTCATTGCACAAATAATACCAAAACAAAGATTACGCAGTTTATCATCACCTACAATCCTTATAGGTTTTTGGAAATGGCTATGATCTTTGCATATCGAGTGAATGCAATATTAACAATGCAAGTTCTTGTTATTTAGGTTGTACATATGAGCCTCCAAAGGGCTATTATGTAGGAGATCAACAAACAAATGAATACTTAGGAGGAAGTTACTAATTTAAGGTAGTCGAGATAGAGGTATATTCAGTTTAAATGTGAGGAAAAAAGAAGATTATTTTTTTGATAGTCTAATTATATATTTTAAATTTCATATAAATGTAAATTTTCTAATTGATTTTGGAATTACTATTCTCGGGGTTTTGGGGTTTTGGGGTTTTGGGG